CCCCCCCCCCCGATACCGATCCAAACCAGCACCCGATCCCAAATTCCACGTGCACGCGATTTTCACCCTATTCACCTCCCCCCGAGCGCACCTGCACATCGAGACTACTGGCGGTCCACGACACATCGGTTTGAAGATAACGCAAGCGTCCTACGATGAGCTCAACGAGAACTGAAATCTCGTGAGAAGCAAAAGGACAACATCGCATTTGATTTTGATTTCTACTACGAATACAAACTGTGAGAGTGTGGCCTATCAATCCTTTAACGTTTCCGGACTTCAAGCTAGAGGTGTCCGAAAGGTTACCACAGGAATAATTGGATTGCGGCCGCCAAGCGTTCACGGCGACGTTGCTTTTTGATCTGTCGACGGCGGCTCTTCCCATCATCGTGTAGCGGAATGCATCACATGCATGCTGCGCCCATCGCCATCGTCACGGCGCCGCCTCCTTCACCGGCCACCGTCATCACCACGCCTCGTCATCATCATTGCGTGCCAATACTCCGACGACCTCGTCATTCCACCGGGGGGACAATCGAGAAGACCCTTCAGGGGTTGAATGAAGACCTTCCTCGACTAGGAGGAAGGACCTTGATTGTCGGGTCGACCGGGAGTGCGGTATTGTCAATCTATCTCCCTCTTACTAATCCCCTCCCTTCCTCTCGCCGATCTCTCTTAAAGATTTCATCTTTTTCCTCTTCTTTTACCTCCGCCCCATCTCCCCTGCCCTACTCTAACCCCCCGCCTAATCAGTCGCATCATCCAAAATTCCTAATGCGCATGACGCACACTCTCTTCTAGGGTTTGTTTGACAATGCTTCCGACATTTTTGTTCAAAAGTTACGTGAAATTCTTTATTATATCAAATCCTTTTCTTAATTCAATTTAAAATTTGACTTTAATTCAAAAATTCGTAAAATAAATTTCAGAATTTACTAAATTCAATTCTTTTGATGTCGAATTTCCTTCTATTTTCTATCCCCCGTAAAATTCCAAAATTCTACAATTCTTTCTGAAATTCTTGAAATTCTTTTGAAATTTCTTTGAAATTCGTCTTAATCTTGTAACACGTCGAGAAACTTTATTGCTTTGACCTAGATAATCCTGGAATTTCTCTCCACCTATTTACATGACTATCACTAATTCTTTACGAAATTTCATCGTAAATTCTTAATTTAGGAATTAGTTTTCTGCTTTTATTTCAAAATTGAAATTCTTTTAATTCCGAAAATACGTCAAGGAATTTTTCATTTTACTTCAAAAAAAAATTTTCCTGTCAACTCATCTCAACCTCTTCTATCATCCCCCTGAACTTTTGGAAATTCTTACAAATATTTTTAAAATTTGTTGAATTTTACTTCAATTTCCTTAAAAATTCCAAATTTACGCCCAAACAATTTCGAAATTTTACTTTGACCTCGTGATTGTCTTATACATACCTTTGGAAATTTCCTCATCCTTTGGAAATTTCCTCTCATTCCCCCGCTCGAATTGGAAATTTTACTTTTCCTCCCTCAATCCGATTTTCAATTTTCTCGATTTAATCTCAGAAGTTCGTTAGACCTCATTTCTACTCGCAGTCCCTTACTCCCCTTTCTGCGTGTCACCCTGGCTCCCCGTGACATCCAACAGCACGCACTCCACAATCGCGCTCGAGACGCTCGTGCCGCCAATTGACTCGCTTGCTTTGGCGCACCAACCGTGACCACAGATCGTCCCTCTTGTCTTGGTGCTCCCTCGACATCATCTTCATCTTCTTCATCTGTTGACTCCATGCAGAGTGCAGAGTCGGTGAGCCCCTCCCACTCCATCAGTGAAGGGTTTGCGCTACTAGCTCGCGATACCATGGCTGATTCGGCTCACATTTCCACCCCTATGGCCACCAGTTCGGGTCCAGCCGCCCAATCGGATCGCTTATTGGCTCTCCTCGAGAGCATGCAAGCCAGATTCGAGGCCAGACTCGAGGCCAAATTCACGGCCCTCCATACCGACTTTTCATCCCTGTTGGCTCGCGTGTCACAGTTGGAGCCCCGTACCAGTGCACCTCCCTCCCCACCCCCCTCATCTGCATCTATGCCAACTTCCTCTCCTTCTTCGACTGGCGTCATCTACACGCTTGTCTCTTCTACGGGTTGCATTTCCTCACCCTAGTCCCACCCTTCCTCTGCAGCCATCTCTTCCTCCCAGGTTTTCGACCCTGCACCTCCCCCCTCAGGACCCATGGCATCTTGTCCCGCCACCTCCTCGACGTTAGTTTCCAAGGCACCTCCCTCATCACCCCCCGCTCCTTTGCCCCCCCCCCCCCCCCCTCCTACACCCAGGACACAAAATGCTGAGCTCCAACGCCAGCTCGCCCTGGCCCTGTCTCTTATACACATCTAGATGTGTATAAGAGACAGGCCAAAAACTTTCACTTAACCACTTTAGGACACCCTTCA